TCTACTCAATACTTCTTTGACTTACCTCTACCTGATCTCTTCATATCAATAAGTCTGACCTCTCAGATACACATGTATATGTGTATCTCTCTCACATATCCAAACTATCTAACTATTATTTTCCTCACCTTGTGATCAACCATAAAGATCTCAGTCCTAGCTTGAGACTCATAAAAAAAATTCACAATTATACATAATTTACATAGTTTAACTATCGAAATATATAATGAAATGATTAAAATTTATTCATATCGACAAGTAAATGAAATTAAGCATCATTAAAAATGTGCTTATTTTTTCAAAACTCAAATTAATCGAATGAGTAAATTTGAACACATGATTGTCTATAGGGAATAGAGGAATTATTACTTTTTCTTGCTTTTCTAAAAAATCTCAAATTTAGAATATAGTCCCAATAATGAACATGACCGACATTTTTTTATATATTTTCTCTTCCTATTTCTGTTTACTTTTTAAAAAAGAAAAAACTCTTGATTCTTTTTAGAGGACATTTTTGGATATATATTAATAATTGTGTTGCACAAGTAAATATTTACAGCTCATTGTTCTTATCCACTTTACTTCTTATATATTTCTATTCCCAAATTGTTTATTACTACTATTTTTATAATATGGGCTTTGGCATTTATATCTTGGCATCAACAGCTTTATCAAAATTGTAGATTCAACATATGATAAACTGATAATTTTAGTCGGCGTTTGACGATTTTTTGTTGTGAAATTTTAAAAAATACAAATTTTTATTATAAAATAAAAAATTATTTAAAAATAAAAGTTATATCCAGTCATGAATACAAATAACAGTTGTTGATTTTTTGTGAGTAATTTAGATTGAACTAAAAGAGATTTATGATCTAATGTTTTCATTGTAATTCTAAATTTTTACTTTTGTCAATGAGAATTTTGTTTTTTACATTATAATCGCCATCTCTATATCTTTTTGTTTAATACAGATAACAAAAAATGAATTTTACAGTACGGTAATATTATTAAGTCGATATGATTGTAAATGCAATTTATTTTTGAAGCATTAATAGTCAAATCAAATAAAATTCAATTCAATCAAATATTGACAAGTCATTGCCCACAAGAAAGACAACAAGGTAAACTAAAAGAACAAATACTACTTGCCAAAATACTTTTTCTTTTTAAAAAGATAATTTTCGTTTTAATTTATACGACACATTTTAACTTTTAACATTTAAATGAGTTTATCGCTGATAGTAATTTTTTTATAGATATTTCAAATTATCAATTATTGTGACTTATAATACTTTTTACGTAGTTTACAAATATATAAATTTTATTTCAAAAAATTGGAATCTCATACCTAAATTCTCGATTCAATTTAAATTACTTAAATCTTAACAAAACAACAAATATCGCATAAATTGAATACAGAACGATTTGGCAACTAGACAAGTTGCTTTTGCACTTGTAAAAGTAGAACAAATATTCCACTGCACTTTTTGTAACAGTAATAAATGAAACAAAACACAAAAAACGATAAAAGACTGTTCGATGCACTAAGTTTTCGAGTTTTCGTTGTTCGGTGCATTAAGTTTCGTTCTACTAATAAACGTTTATAATTAATTGTCTTTTATTCACATTCTTTAATGTGTCAGCATATGTTGATCAAATCTTACAAAAAAAATATGGACTATGTATATAGAAAATATACGAAAAAGAGATACCGTGGAATATTATATTATCAGAAACGTTTTCGATCGATTTTTTATTGGAAAGAGTTTGTGGGGAATTTAAATTTACTTCATAGTGATAAAATATTCAAAATCAAGGGGACTTAGATTAATCTTGATCGAATAAAGATAACTATATTGATAGTACTAGATAATATCATGGACCTCGAATTAATTTCAACTCCAATAAGTATCTCATGACATAAGAATTCTCACAAACATATATAATAAAAAAAATATTGGCATTCGTAAACACTCAGAGCTGATGTTAAGAACATGAACAACATAACATGAAAATTTATTTATTTTAATAAATCAAAAATAAATATATATATCATAAATATTAGTACTACTTTTTTTAAAGGTTTTTTAACATTGACCTTGATTTTTGGTGGTAAATGACTTTAATTCTCCTATTTATCCAAATTCCAATTAATTGGCCCTGCTCCATTATTACTCATTTGAAATAGTTTTTCTAACTTCAATTTTGTGGTCCTCTTTCCAGCAAAATGATTTAATCGACGGTCTACTTGGAACACAATAATATTAAAGCTCCTAATCAAACAGGATAATATTATATTATATTAAAAGTATTTTTGATTTATTTTAGATTAATCATTAATATTAATTAAAGTTAATGATTCGGCAAGACAAATATAAAAATGGTGAAGTAATGAATATGAACAGACACAATGGTAGAGATTATAGCGGATGCAAGTTATAACGAAATTGAGTTATGACTCACATTTCAGCCCACGTAACTTTTGAACTATCAGTAACTTTCTCATTTATCAACTCAAATTATTTTGGTTCATTCAAATTTAATCCAACTCATCCTAGTCGTAAAGGAGTCACTAAATTTAAAAATGTACTATCAAACAATAGACTTTTACATATGGTATTTGCAAGGTACAGACAAGTAGACAACTGCATACTTTAGGTAAAAAAAAAAAACAGAAAACAAGTGCATGCCATTTTTGTGTTGCTGACATTATTTCAAATTCAAATTCAAATTCGAATCGCATAAATTCTTAAAAGTAGAAAAAAGAAATAATTATTCCTATTTGTAGATATGTTTGATTAAAAATTTAAAAAATTGCCCTCAAAAGAATAATTTATGATTTTTTATAAGAACCTCAAATTAATATTATGTTTATGCTTGAACTTTTATAGATATTGAATTTCTTAATTAATACATAGTATTAAACTTTATCGCAATAATAACATATTAAGTTTAGTTCCATAAAGTGAAGTTTAGAGGAGATTAAAGTCATGTACTCTACCTCAAAGTTATAAAGATATTTCTAATAGATTTTCGATTTGTCTAAAACAATCTTAAAAAAGAAGTTATAGAAGTATAAGGAATAACAGATACTAGCAAAATAGCATATAGTACCATACATAAATTACAATAAAATAATACGATAATCGAGTATAAAAATCATAGATATTGAAAGAATGTAAAAGACAAGAAACTACAGTACAAATACTACGGCAACTCTAAAAGCAGTACAAAGCATTCAAATAAATGCGAAAACAACAACTAAAACATAATAGACAAAATATGGTAACAGATATCACAAGCAAGAGGGTACACGTATACGACTATACAGAGCTATCAGACTCCTATCAAGCCTAATTCACAACCTCTGTCTCAGAGCATGTTCTTGATAAGTTAAAATTGTGTCATGTTATGTCTACTCAATACTTCTTCGATTTAACTCTACATGATCTCTTCATGACCTCTCACATACACGCGTATATGTGTATCTCTCTCACATATCCAAACTATCTCACTATTATTTTCCTCATCTTGTGATCAACCATAAAGATCTCAACTCTGACATGAGAGCATCAACTCATAAAAAAAATTCACGATTATATCTAATTTACATTGTTTAACTATCGAAATATATAATGAAGTGATTTAAAGAAATTCATATCAACAAGTAGATGAAATTAAGCATTCATTAAAAAAAAGTGCTTATTTTTTTAAAATTTAAATTAATCGAATCAGTAAATTTGAACTGATGCAGGGAATAGAGGAATTATTACTTTTTCTTCCTTTTCTAAAAAATCTCAATTTTAGAATATAGTCCCAATAATGAATGTACAACATGATCGACATTTTTTTATACTTTTTCTCTTCCCATTTTTGTTTATTGTTTAAAAAAGAAAAAAACCTTTGATTCTTTGAGAGAACATTTTTGGATATATATTAATAAATGTGTTTCACAAGAAAATATTTACAGTTCATTGTTCTTATCCACTTTACTTCCTATATATTTCTATTCCCAAATTGTTTATTACTATCTTTTATAATATGGGGCTTTGGCATTTATATCTTGGCCCCAACAGCTTTATCAAAATTGTAGATTGAACAGATAATCAGATAATTTTGTAATTTTTTAAAAAAAATTATTTGAAAAAAAAAGTTATATTAGGCCATGAATACAGATAATAGTTATTAAGTTTTTTTGAGTGATTTAGAGTGGAAAAAAGTTAAAATAGTTTTTGTTGTTTTCAGATTTTTGAAAATTTTAAATTCAACTTCGAGTTGAATTTGAAATTTATGATTAATAAATATGTGTTTTAGAATTCAACTTCAAAAAAAAAAAAAAAAAACTATTTTTTTTACTTTTGTCAGTGAGAATTGTGTTTTTTCACATTATAATCGCCATCTCCATATCTTTTTATAATTCAGATAACAAAAAATGAATTTTACAGTAAGGTAATATTAGTGAGTCGATATGATTGCACTTGCAATTTTATTTTTGAAGAATTAATAGTCAAATCAATAAAATTCAATTCAATCAAATATTGACAAGTCATTGTCAACAAGAAGGAGCAGAAGGTAAACTAAAATAACAAAAATTACTTGCCAAAACACTTTTTCAAAAAAAAATAAAAATACTCCCTTCATTTCAATTTACGTGACACAATCTGAATTTTAAGATTTAAACAAATTTAACTATGACTATAATTTTTTTATAAATATTTTAAATATTTTAAATCGTCAATTAATGTGAATTCTAATAATTTAGAAATATATAAATTTTATTACAAAAAAATTAAAGATTTTATACGTAAATTTTCAATCCAACTTAAATTATTTAAATCTAAAAAAACAAAAAATATTGCATAAATTGAATATAGAACGATTTGGCCACTAGACAAGTTGCTTTTGCACTTTGTAAAAACAGAACAAATATTCCACTGCACTTTTTGTAACAGCTATAACATGAAACAAAACACACAAAACGATAAAAGACTGTTCGATGCATTAAGTTTTTATTTTTTCGTGAAATATTATAAACTATAAGCAATAATACAATTATATACAGAAGAAGTCCACTAAATGAGCAACTCAATTATGGAGATTACAATCCAAAGTAGTAATTTTAATAATAAAATCACCATTACTCAAATTGACATTTTTAAAGTTGGAAAAAAAAAAGTACAAAGAGTAACGTACAAAAATAAAATTTGTACTAGTAACCTATTAATATTGCCTCTATATTTTACTATATACTATATACTCCAAACATAGTTTTACATTAAAAAAACTACTATGCTTAAAAGCTCACAAATTTCTCATTGATGTGTTGCATCCACATTGAAGCTCGACCGATTTTAAATTTGCGCATTAAAGGCGAAGGTGACACTCTGAATAGAATTTTTTCATTTCCACGAACTCGAACTCGAGATTTTATTTCAGATCTCCACACAGCATCCAGATTGTACAAATCCTGAAAATTCATCAGGAACATTTATCTTTGTCAATTTACTGTTTTGTCCTTCTTTTTTGTTGTTTTCTACGAAAAAGAACCCATGCGGGGCACCTTGATAGGCCGACCCGGCAACCAAGGTCCGATCACCAAGATCCACACCACATGCTCCGACTTTAACATTCGGGTCGGATTCTGCCCAACAAGTTAAATTTCCATTTTTGCCCACCCCTACACATGCCCTAGGACACTGGCTCGACCTCCATGCATCCTCAACTCGTCTCCACTGACCCGTGCTGAGTTCGTATAACTCAGCACTACTTTTAAATCGGCCTTGGTTTTCCGTGTCGTAACCACTTACGACACAGAAATCCGAGCCGATTATAACCCCTTCACACTCATCTCGCTCCTCACTCATCCTAGGCAACTCCGTCCACTCGTTGGATGAAATATCAAAAACCCAAGCGGAACTCAGCGCGTTCTTACTCTCATCGTGACCGCCGGCGATGAAAACCTTACCTCCGGCAGCTCCCATAGCGAAAAACGACCGAGCTTCCGGCATATCCTTACACTGATTCCATCTCCGAGTCATGAAATCGTAAACAGACACGTCCTTAATTGGATCCCAGCTCACCGGATTCCATCCACCCATAACAATTAGCTTTCCTTCAGTAGTTGCAATTTGACAAAACATCGGTAACCCATCAGGGTATTTAGGAATCGGGTCAACCCGATCCCAAATTCCGGATACTAAATCGAAAACTGAGATCGCATACCTGGGTTGTCCGGTGGGTTTGGATTCAACCGGGGAAGGTAAAGCTTGTACTAAACAAGCAGCTTTATGGGTAAAACCCGTTTGTTTCCGATGGTAATAGAAAGCTTTACTTTGAAGAATTCTACACCATCTTCGGCAAACACGAGATGCAACTCCATGAGTTGAGTAGTGTAACCGGGTCAAACACTCGAGGGCAATGTCCTCGGGAAGACCCGGTACTAATTCAGTGAACTCATTTTGATTCATTTTGTTATTTTTTTAAATTTTTGTTCTAATTGAAGAAGATGAAGTGATGCAGAAATTTGGGGATTTTACCTTGCTATTTATAGTGAGAAAAAAATATGAGAAAAGGACGATCACATGATATCTTACAGTTGATGCAGTGAGATTATTACACGTGGCAATTATCGATAAGATCTTTGATACTGACATAAATATAAAATAGGCGCATCCACAAGATAAAAAAAATCCATTTGATGTTCATCGAAATTAGCCACACAATGTATTATTATCCTTAAACTTGCCAGTATATTTAATTTACCGTAATGCTAATATTGAGGGATGACAATGGAGCGAGACGAATGCAAGGTGGAGTGAGTTTAAGGTTATGCGGGTTTAAAGTTGTGCGAGACAGTTTGAATAGATTTTATTAAAAACTAATGTGAGACGTAGCAAGTTACGGGTATATGCGATTTTATGTGGGTTTAAACTTAATTTTAATTTTTTATATGGATATGTTATAAGAGTGGTGGAGTATTTATTAAGATAATTAAGTTAAAGCTACTAAATATTTAAGATAGTAAATGAAAATGGTCAAATAAAAAATAATATAATTTCTTACATGTTTTTCAATTGACCTTTAAAAAGTAAATTTCTAAGTCTTTATCTATTAAATTAATACAATTTAATGAAAAAAATGAATTTTATTTTTAGTATCAAATAGAAAAAGAAAATATTAAAAAAAAACTGTGGGGCGAGTTCATTCGTGGCGGGTCTATGTGGACGGGTTGAAAACGAAAAAAAATGTTATGCGGAGCATACAGAGCGGACTAATAATTTTACGAAATAGGCTAAATTCACCTCACACTGCCTCATTGCCATCCCTACTAACATATCTAATAATGATGCGTCTCAAATAGGAATGTTCATAACTACTCGATAAAAAATGAATAAACAAATCAAAATCGAATAGAATTGTGTTTGGGAAAGGAGAAAATTGAATCATATCAAACTCAATTTAAATTGGTTTTTGACATAACGATTAGAAAACTATCGTTATATAATATCCTTTAGTGAGAAAAATATTAAACAGTATATTAGAAATTGTTATATATTTGTCAAACCTAAATATTTATGATTACATTTAGATAATTCAAATTGTTCGATGTTATTTATTGTGTTGCTCCAAATTTGTTGATGTTCAGACATAGACAATTTAATTATTTTGTGATTTTTTCAAAAATGGTATAATTTGTTTATATTTTTAAATCTTTTATAAGTAAAAATAAATATATTTTACATATCAAGAAAATTAAATAGAATCATTAGTAGGGTAATAGAGCCTAACATAATAGTTAGACTAGGATTTTGGAGGTAAAAAGATTATGGATCATTTAAATTTTGATTGAGATAAAAGTTCCAAAAAAAATAACAATACAATGATATTTGACTGAAAATAAATTTTAAAAGACTAAAAATATGTATTTAATTGATTATAAAATTAAATATATTTAATCAAATATTATTAGAATCAAATCAGAATTTTTCAATAAACTGAAGGATTGAGAGTGTGACGGTCTCCCTAAAGAAAACTATGATATAGGAGGAAGCAAAATAAGTTTTTGGTTTAATATATAGTCATTCTCTTTTAACTTGTCCGGATATTTTATTTTAATATTTAAATCAAATTTCATTCTAATTAATATTAACTTCTAATAAAATATTTTAGACATTCTTTAATCATATAAAAATATACTATTTTTTTAAATTATGTTAATGGTCATTGTGAATCATGCAAGAAGAGGAAATATGACTATTATGATGAGGTTTTGTTTTAATTATTTCGCATCTGATATTTGATAACTACATTTGAGTTCGACTAGATCTGAATTCACGCAGATAAATTTTATATTGAGGATAAAAAAATTTCTAACAAAGGTGATTATGTATCAAAATGATTTAAATTAACTCGAGACCTTTAATTAAGAATGAAAGAGTATGATATTATGATTGAGGTTGAGTCTATATATATATTACTATATAAGAAGAGTGAATAAATTCACTCCTCTTTCGACACGTGGCACCAAAAAAAAAGGAGAGGGTTGAACATAAGTGTGAATGTGAGGGTATTTTGGGTATTTAAAAATACCCTCACATTCACACTTATCTACAAAAAAAAAAATACTATATAATATATATAATGTATAATATAAGTACTAGATAAGTGTGAAAGTGAGGGTATTTTGGGTATTTAAAAATACCCTCACATTCACACTTATCTACTACAAAAAATATATATAAGTAGTAGATTTAAATATATTTAAAAATAATATAAGTAATACTATACTTAGTATGCTTAAAAATAGTAAAAACTACATAAAAAGTACTACATATCATACTACAATAATTAACAATTATTTGACACTTTCAATTCTATCAATGCCATATAAATTAGGATAAAAAAGGTAACATTTATATTCAAAAATAATATAAGTAATACTATACATTACAATAATTAATAGCTTAAATATTTAAAAGTTATATAAAAAATTTAATTGACTCTCTAAATTCTATTGCTACCACATAAAATGGATTATATGATAAACATATATTGTTTGAAATTGACGAAAAATAAACTATAAATTACAATAATTAACAAAAAAAATTGTCGGCTCCAAAAAATCTATCAATTAAGAACATATATTGTTTCAAATTGACGAAAAAGAAACTATAAATTACAATAATTAACAAAAAAATTCTCTCGACTCCAACAAATCTATCAATTAATGCCACATAAATTGGGACATGGAAAATAACATATATTCTTTAAAAATTAAGTTCAAAATGTACTATAAAATACAATAATTAACAACTTAATATAGTAAAGAGACATATAAAAAATGGTTAATATTTGAAATTTTGCATGTGCCACATAAATTAGAACAAAGAGAGTAATAAATATTATTTTCAAAATTCTGTAAAAAAAAAGGTACTACAAATCACAATAGCTAACAATTTAAAATTTTTTTAGAATCATATAAAAATTTCAATAACTTCTCAAATTTCATAATATATGACATAAGAAGAGGGAATAACCAATATATTTATAAAAAGAAATGACATATAAAATGAAATGGACAGAGTATTAGTTTTTGAAAATGGAAAAGGACAAAACACATATAAAATTAAAAGACATATAAAAAAAAAATTGGTTTAACTCTCAAACATAAAAAGTAACATATGTTATTAAAAACTTTAATAAAAAGTACTATAATTTACAATAAATAATAACTTAAAATATCTACAAGCCAACAAAAAAAAGACTAATTTTTGTACTGCTTGTGTCACATAAATTAGGATTGGGATGATTTTAAAATTTTAATTTTTGTTATACATTATAAAATAGCCGAAAAATTGAATGATATAATTTTTAAAAAAATAACCGAATGAATCGTCCTATCGATAACCCTAATGTTACTTCTACTCTGTTTATTTTTACTTAAATTTAGAAAGATATGTTTCATTTCTACCCTCAATCTTATCGGTACATTTATTTGCTATTTGAAATTGAAATTAAAAAGACAAATGACAAATAAGTTTTTATATTAGCTCACTTATGAGCAAAATATATTATAACAATCTTTACTAATTTTATAACAATACATAAACTATACTCTCTCCGTCCCATATTAGATGGGCACTTCCAACTTTACACGGTGATTAAGAAATCATTAATACATTGGAAGACTTCACCATTTTACCCTTTGTTTATATCAATGCACATTGAAATGAGTTACAAAAAATACACATACAATATAGGAATGGTCATATTAATTGTAGGGTAAAATGGAAAAGAATTAATTAATTATATCCTAATTTAATAAGTGCTCAAATAATATGAACATTTTTTTTTAGTAAGATTCTCATCTAATATGGGACGGAGAGAGTAACAATATAACTTTATTAATGTTGGGCCCGGGCAGCGCCCGGGCTTTCTTTACTAGTATTAACATAATTAACATAACCTATATGTATCTAGAAGAATATATAATAGAGAAAAGACATTTTGTCATCAATACATACAAAAGAAAGAAGAAGAAAAAATAGAAAGGACACTTGCACAGGTAAGAATAAAGCAGAAATTGAAAGACTATTTGGAGAAAAAAAATAAGTGGTGTTATTTTTTTATTAGCAAAAAGTAGGCTCCATTATTTTTGTAAAAAAATTAAAATCAAATTTAAAAGACAATATTTAATTAATCGACTATCTAAACTTTATTAATTTGATATCTTATCTTGAATTTCCTTCCTTGTCCGAATTGGAAATTCAATTCCTTCGATTTGAATTATTCGAAGAATGCAATATATAAAAAACTATATGATCTAACCGTCTATATTTAATTTTTATTTTAAAAAAAAGTTCTGCCACGTGGCAGATAAACTTTGTATGTATTAACTCAAATTCATTCATACTTCCTAGTCAACACCTCTTTATCCCCAAGAGAATCTATGGGCCACATGGGTTCCACTTTGTCTCTAAGATAAAGAAGCTCATCATCGAGGTATGTAGCGGGATGAATATATTTTATTTTTATTTAAATTTTAAAAATGAAAAAATTATGATAAAAATATCTTCCTTGTTGAATGAGATACTATTCAAAAATGATTATTCATGTATGTAATTGAAAAATAACAATAGATTCAAAGTTCATTGAAAAATAGTTAGATTTTAGTATTTATGATATTGACATTATATTTATTTTTTTAAAAGTTCAAAATTTATTATATTGTCATGAATTTCAATATCTATCGACATTAACTTGTTTAAATTCAAAGTTCATGTGATTATCATAATATTTTTACATTAAAAAGTGATTACATTTTTATAAATTCTCAAATATCAATGAAATTATATCTGATATAAGCTTAACTTAATCAATCGTAAATTCCGTACTTAGTAAAAGGGCCCTTAAAATTAGCAAAAAAAATAAAATGGTGTGTGATTGGATACAATGTATGTGTAGCTTGATTTTTTGAAGGTGACTTGACAAATTAATATTATCCAAAGGGAG